CAGGTGGAGGATTAACCTGCACCCCAGCGCCGACCTCCACAAAAAGTGTTTTTAAGTGGCAATTGTAGGGGCACATGTTCAGTGCCGCAGCCAGGATTCCACTTAGGGCGCCTGCATCCCGCATGCGGTGCCTGGTCGAGTCCCGGCTCTGCTTCTCATCCAGCTCCCAGCTAATGCAGACGCTGGGAGGCGGCGGTGATGGCTCAGTGGTTGGGTCTCTGCCACACACGTGGGAGACCTGGATGGAGTTCCTGGGTCCCAGCAGTGACCTGGCCCAGCCTCTCATGTTGGGGGCGTTTAGGGGAGTGAACCTGCAAATGAAAGATCTTTGACTGTCTCTGTCTTCGAAATAAAATTCAAAAGTAAAAATTGGTACCCAGTTGTCACTCCGTTAGTTACCTGTTGCTGCATAATAAGGTATGCCAGTGAGGGGAGTAAAATGACGATGTGTGTCATCTGAGTGTTGCCGTGGGCTGGGAGTGAGGGTCCCCTGGGTCAGGGGGTCGGCTGGGGCCTGCCTGGGGCGGGGTCCGGTCGGAGGCAGCAGTCACTTTGTGGGGGGAGGATGGGCTGACGGCCCCAGATCCTTGCTGGCTGCTGTCTGGCTCCACCCCCAGCCCTTGCCACGGGGGTCTCTGCAGTGTGGCTGCCTGCCCTCTCGGAGTCAGTGACGAGAGAGAGGAGAGGGCCAGGGAGAGCTGGCACTGGGTGGAGCAGCAGCCACTAGTGCAGTACTGGAGTCTCAGAAGTGACACCTGTCACTCGGGCCGGCGCCGCCTCCATGGGAGTGAGTTACCAGGTCTGGCCATGGCCGGGGGGAGGGGGATGCATCACGGTGTGGTGGGGATCAGCCGGAAGGAGCTGCCTGCCCAGCTGTGCAAAAAACTGTGCCCCTGCCAACGCCACGGCACCTGCGCACCAGGTGCGCTGCACGTCAGATCACGCTCCGCCCAGCGCCGCCAAGCGTTCCTCCTCGCGGCAGTGCAGGGAGGCCTGGTTGCACCCCTGTCCAGATAAGCAGAGGGGGCTGGGGGCGCAGAGACTCGCTCAGGGTCACCCAGCTTGTGATGGGTAGAACTAAATGCCAGCTCGAGCTCGGGTGCTGAGAGCAGCCGCTGGTGTTTCTCTAATTGGCCCCCAGAACCCCGTACCGCAGTGTCGCCTGGGAGCCTTGGCCGAGAACCAGGTTTGCTTGCAGACTGGAGCCGAGGAGGCAGGGCCTGGGAACCAGCATTTGAGGCTCACCCGTGAGAGTTAGGCTTGGGCCTCGGGCTCTGGAGGGCGTGGGGGTGTCGGGGTGTCTGAAGTGGGGGTCGAGGGAAGGGTGCTGCTTCCTGGAGTTCACTGTCACCGCTGGGGTCCTGGAAGCAGAAGAGGTGGAGAACGAGATGAGACGGTGCAGGGCCGGGCTTGGCATGGCGCCTGCGCGTCGGGAACCCTTGACACGTGAAAGCTGTGACTTTCATTAACGTTATTAATGAGCATTAATGATAATTAGCAACTCGTTAATATTCCAGTGCAGCGGAAGATGGGCTTAGTGCAACACCGCTTCAGGGAAGAGGTTTGGATTGTTGCCGTCGGCTGCTTCGGTGGCTTGGAAAGACGCCGTCTAACGGGGGACGCGTGTTGCTGTGCGTTGGGGGGGACGCGATCCATTTGGGCGCAGTGAGCCATGTTTGGGTCTGCTCCCCAGGGGCTCCCGCCTGGGACTCCGGGGCGCTCCTGGCCCCTCCTAGCGCCTCGGCCGTCAGCAGGGTCTGCTCGGGCCCCCAGGTGGGCAGGGGCCCTGGGGATGTGGTGCAGGGCCTGACCGGCGCTTTGTCCCCTGCAGATCAGGAGCGACACCTCACAGATCCTGGAGGAAAACATCCCGCTGCTTAAGGCCAAAGTGACGGAGATGCGTGGCATCTACGCCAAGGTGGACCAGCTGGAGGTGGGTCCAGGGCCGCGCGGGCCCTCGGTGGGAGCCCGGTCTGGGCCTCACGCCCTGGCGGGCCGCCGGGCTGACCCGTGCGGGGGCGGGCCTGGGCGTGGGGGGCGGTGGGGGAAGCAGGTCGGGGTCGAGTGGTTTTTATTTTTTTTAAGATGATGAATAAGAATTTGTTTCCAACACTTGAAATTCAAGCTCCTTTACATAAAAAAATCCAAACTTGAAGCTTTTGAAATTTCACAAGCTTTGGGGCTGGCACTGAGGTGTAGTGGGTAGAGCCATCGCTCATGAAGCCCCCTGGTTAGAGTCCCGGCTGCTCCACTTCTGATCCACCGCCCTGCTAATGGGCTGGGAAACAGTGGAAGACGGCCCAAGTATGTGGGCGGCCTGGAGGGAGCTCCTGGCTTCAACCTGGCCCAGCCGTGGTTGTTACGGCCATTTGCGGGCTGAACCGGCAGGTGGAAGACTCCTCTCTGTCTCTCCATTGCTCCGTAGCTCTGACTTACTGATAAATAAATTGGTTGTTTAAAAGATTTTCAAAGCATTGACAGCCCTGGGCTGGTATTTCTTTAAACACTTTAGTCTGTTTAAAGACACACAGCTCAAGTACATGGTTCAGAGAATGTTTACCTGTTTCAACACCCGCGTGAGGATGGCTCGGATTGAGAGCTTCTCTGACCCTGGGGCACTCCCTCAATAGACAGAGCCACCGTCAGCTGCCCCCAGGAGGCACCTGAGCTCCGGCTGGCGTCGTGGCCCAGGCAGGGCCAGCATCCCATAGGGCACTGGCTTGAATCCTGCTCTGTTTCCTCTCCAGCTCCCTGCTAATGGCCTGGGAAAGCAGCAGAAGATGGCCCAGGTACCTGGGCCCACACCCATGTGGGAGACCCGGATGGAGCTCCAGGCCCTGGCTTTGGCTTGGCCCAGCCTTGGCCGTTGTGGCCGTTTGGGGAGTGAACCAGAAGGTGGGAGATTCTCTCCTTGCCCTGACTCTGTGTGTGTATGTCACCCCCTCCCGCCTTCCAGATAAATGTCTTTTTTTAAAAAAGGTGTATTTAAAAAGGGTATGCCTTTCTCTCTCTCTCTCTCTCTAACTCTGCCTGTCCAAAAAAAAAAAAAAAAAAAAAAAAAAAGAGGTATATTTGTGTATTTGAAAGGCAGAGAGAGAGAGAGGTCTTCCATCTGCTGGTTCACTCCCCAAATGGCTGCAGTGGCTGGAGCTGATCTAGTCAAGCCAGGGCCTTCTTCCAGGTCTCCCACATGGGTGCAGGGGTCCAAGGACTTGGGCCATCTTCTGCTTTCCCAGGGCATTAGCAGGGATGGATCAGAAGTTGAGCAGCCAGGCCTTGAACTGGCATCCATATGGGAATGCCGGCATCACAGGCAATGGCGTTACCTGCTGCGCCATGATGCCAGCTCCCAGATAAATAAATCATATAAAAAAATCCCCTGGCTCTCCAGCCTACCACACTCCCCACCATGCCTTGTTGCCTCCCTGATGACGTATTTCACCCTGGCCGCTGAGATGAGATGCACAGCACCTCCTGTTGTCCTTGCTACACGGCAAGGCCAGTGTCCTGGCTGTCCTTGTTCCCTCCACCCCAGGCAGGAGCTTGAGTCACAGTGGGAGAGATGTGATTCCTGGGGCCTTGGCTTGGGCTCGCACGGTGAGGCAGCAAACAGGGCCGCACAGCGTCAGCGGAGAATTAACATTCTAGTTGCCGAGAGCGAGGCCCGGATGGAGCCAGAGCCTTGCCCTTGGATTAGCTGATTCATTGGAATTTTATTGCATGAACTGGAAAAGGGGGAGAAGCCGAGGACACACGGCCTGGGTGCTGCCCCGCCGGGCTGCCGCGGCTCCCGTCCTAGCGTGTGGTCCTCGGACACCTCTTGAGGGCCTACTGTGTGCCCCCACGGGGCTGTCAAGGGGGCGCGGCAGAGAGGCCAGGGCCGCGTTCCTGCCGGCAGTGGTGGCGTTCTGTCGCCGCTGTCACAAATGACCACAGGCTCAGTGGCTGCAAACCACATGCAGTGATTCTTGTCTATCACTGGAGGTGCCATGCGAGGCCACCGTGGGAATGTTGGCAGGGCTGTTGTCGGCTCTGGGCGAGAGCCTGTCTCTTGGCCTTGTCCCCCTTCGGAGAGGCCGCCTGCCTTCTCAGCTCCCCGTCCCCTTCCCATCGCTCCCGATGCTGACCCCGCCCCCTCTCCGGACCCCCGTGAGTCCATCGGATCCCCCGGGCGGGCAGGCAGAGTCTCCCACCTCCAGCTCCCTAACCGAATGCCGTAGCCACCTCCCGTAGCCGAGTGAGGCGACACGCTTGCGTGTCTCGGCTCTGGGGTGTGAACGTCTCTGCTGAGCAGTCACCATGGCGCGCGCCCTGGAGGACGCACGGCTGTGGCTGCGGCGGGCTCCGAGGTGGCAGGGTCTTGGGTCGTGGGACGATTCTGGGTGGCCAGATTCCAGGAGCAGAGGGGATATGACCCGAGGCAGGCTGGGGAGAGCGGCGGCAGGAACTCGGTCATCTCGGTCTTGCTGGCCAAGGTCAGGTGTGGGCCTTGATCCCGAGGGCCAGGAAGGCGGTGCTGCCCAGTGGGTAGGGGCCGTTGTGGGGCGTCCAGTGTGCTGTAGGGGGCAGGGCTGACCGCTGGCTGCCACCTTTCGGTTATCTGTCAACCCCCTCCCCTGCTGCTCCCCAGGTGTCTCCCCCTAGGCACAGACTCTCTGCCTCCCAGTCCTGTGGCCCAGGTTCGAATCCTGGTGCAACCTCTTCTCTGTGTGACCCCTGCCAGAGCCAATGCTGGGGTTACAGGAATGAGGGTCTTGCACGGCATCCCAATGGCAGTCGACAAACGTTGGTTGAATTCTGGGCTCCCCTGGGATGGGGGCTGGGAACACCCCCGAGGGGGAGCATGGGACGAGGCAGCAGGTGCAGGAGGCAGCCTGAGAAGAGAGGACTGAGATGTGTGCAGCGGCCTGGGGCAGAAAAGCTCTCCCGAAGGCCCCTCGGGCGCTGGGAGCAGGTGCGGAGCTCAGGGCCCAGGGCCTGGGACGAGGGGGCTGCATACAGGGTCACGTCGTGGGGCTGAGACCACGTCCTGAGAAGCACAGGACCCATCCAGGGAGTTGCGGATGCTGTTCCCTCCCCGGCCCCCAAAGTCCACCTTGGTGACAGTGGTCCCTTTATCCACGCTGTCACATTCCGTGACTTCAAGCCTGGCAGTTACGCACGGTCCAAAAACAGGAAACAACGAAACAGCCAAGGTTGGGTGGCTTTGTCAGGAAAGAGGTTTACTTAGCCCACGGTGGTGGAGGCCAAGGACCTGCACCTGCCAGCGACCTTCTTGCTGGCAGAATCCCCGGGAGGCACAGGGCGTCCCATGGAGGGAGCCACGGATAACCCGTGTGTCTCCGGTGTAGTCTTTTTTCATTTCGTTAGAGGTGGCTAGAGATCTTCCACCTGCAGGTCCACTCCCCAGATGCCCAAGAGCCAGGGAGAGACCAGGAGCTGGGAACTCCATCCGGGTCTTCCCTGGGGGTGGCAGGAACCCAAGTTCTTGAGCTGTCGCCTGCTGCCTCCCAGGCGGGTTAACAGGGAGCTGGGTCAGGAGCAGAGGAGCCTGGACAAATCGGGCACTTTGATGTGGGATGCTGTGCCAAGCCCCGCCCCCTCTTCCTCTTACAAAGCCCGGATTCAGCCTTGGGGGCTCCGCCCCGACTCCCTTCAAACTCCTCGCCTCCCAGGAGCCCCACAGGCAGATCGGGGTCCCTCGGAAACTCTTGGCGGCGATTACATTTCAGACAGGAAGCCGTGCAGGCATCCCTAACCGTGGCCCAGCCACAGCCCTCCCTCTGTTAATGCAACCTGGGGGAGCTGCGTTCCTCCCCTAGCCGGGGGCTCCCAGGGCCCTGCACCTAAGCCCTCGCTTCCGTCCCTCAAGGCAGGGCCCAAGGTGTAAGCCACTGTGGCTGGGCTGGAGATTCGCCCGCGGTCACCCAGGCCGGAAGGGAGAGCAGGCCGCAGGGTGTACACGCCCCGCGCTGGGCGTCGGCCCCCTTTCTGGACAGCCCGGAGGCCTTGGGCAGAGGGTTTAGTTCCCAGGACTCACAGACGAGCCTGCAATCCGCCGCCCCAACCAGATTACAAATTGGGTGTATTTGCCGTGAAATTTTCAAAAATCGCCACCCTTCCCTCGCCAGCCTCAGGGCGGCTAAGCTGAGCCGGCCACCACCCTCTGGCCGTCCCTGGCCGTCCCCTGCCACCCGGCCCTGAGCTGGGGCTGTGGGCCTGGCCGGGTGTTGGCTGTTACCGGCTGCGGCTTGGCTGGGCTGCCAGGCGGGCTGGGACGCAGCGGGCGCACTCCCCGTGCACCCACCACGCGGCCCTTCCAGAGCGAGCGTAAAATTGGAATCGGCTGCAGAAAAGGGAGCTCAGGCCATCGTCTCTGGCACAGGCCGGGCCAGGCCTCGGTGCCCCGGGCCAGGGAACAGTTTGCCGGGCCGTGTGTCCCCCACCCCCACCACACAGCAGCCCAGGGAGCCACAGCGCAGCCGGTCCCGCCGTTGTGAATTCAGCCTGTGTCTTTTTGCTCAAGATGCGTTCACTCATTCACTCGCCCGTTCTCCCGTGTGCGCGTGCGTGCAGCCACTGTCCAGACAGACCCCTTCCTTGCACCAGGGCCCTGGCCTGTGAACCAGGTGCAGCGAGGGCCGTGGGGGCCAGGAAACTGGGGGCGCCACAGTGACCCGGGCTTGGTTAGGGCGTCTCAGAGGAGGAGACAGTTGACCCAGGGTCTGAGAGACGAGCATGGCTGCCCCATCAAGCATGGCAGAGGATGCTGGAGGCACCTGGAGGGCGGGTGCCGAGGCCCTGTGTTGGGTGAGGGCCAGGGAGCGTGTGGGTTGCAGAGGTGCTGGCATGGCCGGGTGGCGGGAGGCCCCAGGGGGGCCGGGGGACACAGAGGGCGGGCCTCAGAGGCCTGCGTGCCAGACGTCCTCCTACCCATCCCCTGTGGGAGAACTCCTCCTCCTCCTACTGCCGCGGGGAGGGAGGCCGGCGGAGGCGGTGCCTGTCAGGTGCGGCGCTGTGGTCGCCACTTGCAGGGGCCTCAGCTGTGTGCTGACAAGAGGCACCCACCGGAGGCTGCTGGGCTGAATTTTCCTGGGCCTCGCACGGTATTTTTTTAAATAATTATTTATTTGAGGCTGGCACCGCGGCTCACTAGGCTAATCCTCCGCCTGTGGCGCCAGCACCCTGGGTTCTAGTCCCGGTTGCTCCTCTTCCAGGCCAGCTCTCTGCTGTGGCCCGGGAAGGCAGTGGAGGATGGCCCAGGTGCTTGGGCCCTGCACCTGCATGGGAGACCAGGAGGAAGCTCCTGGCTTCGGATTGGCGCGGCACCGGCTGTTGTGGCCATTTTGGGGGTGAACCAACAGAAAAGGAAGACCTTTCTCTCTGTCTCTCACAGTCTAACTCTGCCTGTCAAATTAAAAATTATTTACTCGAGAGGCATAGTTAGAGAGACAAGATCGAGCCGGCGCCGTGGCTCAATAGGCTAATCCTCCACCTTGCGGCGCCGGCACACCGGGTTCTAGTCCCGGTCAGGGCGCCGGATTCTGTCCCGGTTGCCCCTCTTCCAGGCCAGCTCTCTGCTATGGCCAGGGAGTGCAGTGGAGGATGGCCCAGGTGCTTGGGCCCTGCACCCCATGGGAGACCAGGAAAAGCACCTGGATCCTGGCTCCTGCCATCGGATCAGCGCGGTGCGCCGGCTGCAGCGGCGGCCATTGGAGGGTGAACCAACGGCAAAGGAAGACCTTTCTCTCTCTGTCTCTCTCTCTCACTGTCCACTCTGCCTGTCCAGATA